CCTCTCCACTTATCATTATTCATTCTTATAGACTAGCCACCCACAAGGTACGTAACATTATCACAACTTCACGGAGGAGGAAACCGAGCCTCAGAGATAGAATATGACTCACCCAACGCTACATATGTAGAAGCCTGTGCCCTCTGCTACTTTACCCTGCCCTCTCTTTCAGGCACTGTGTTAGCTGCTGGGGATACAAGGATGAGCAAGGCCAAAGGCAGAGCCCCTTTAACTCTTTAGAGCATATGTGGAGAGGGAAGACAGAGTAAGAGAGAGGACTAGGCAGGATGAGAAGTGCTCTGATGGAAGTGTTCCCAGTTAAAAGCGAACAGAGCCCAGGGAGTGACTGAGTCCGGCTGAGCTAGGAAGTCTTCTCATGGGAGATGTGGGCTGAAGTAAGTCTTGAAGGATGAACAAGAGCTTTCCAAGAGGTCAAATTGGGGGTGGGGGGGTAGAATATTCCAGCAGAGAGAATAGCATGTTGTCAAGAAGGAAAGGCAGTATGCATGAGGAGAAGGAGCGGGAAATGCGGGAGGAAAACCACAGGACTCTGAACTCCTGGTAGGGAGTTTAGCCTGCATCTTTTAATGATGAAGGTGCTGGAGGATCATCGGAGGCTTTAGGCAAGTAACATGATCAGATTTGTGTTTTAGAAGGACCATGTCATAGACAATGTCACCAATGGACTGGAGGTGAGACTGGTTAGAAGAGACACATAAGGGAGCTATTGTGGAAATCCAGGGGGAGAACAGAAGGGCCCACAAAAGCAGGGAGGTAGGTGGGTAGAGAGGAAGGCTGGATCTGAGAGAGAGTTGTTGATTGTGGTGACTGTGGAATGGGGCAGCTTTCTGGTTTGCTTGGTTGGCTGGGAAGACATCCCTCACAGCCCATCACGGAGATCTGTGGAGGTAAAACAGGTTTGGGTGTGTGTTTGTTGGCGTAAGGTGAAGGGAATGGTGGAGGGGGCAGGGTAAGGTGGCACTTTCACTAGCAACATGGTGACCTTGAGATTCCCATCAAAGTAAATGTAGGCAGTTGGACAGACAGGTCTGCAGCTCAGGTTTCTGGGGGTGAAGCATGTATTATCTACTCCCTTTTCAAAGTCATTTAACATGGTTCCCAGACTAATGCACAGCTTGTATGAACATATTGAGAAAATACCCAGCTTTGGATGAACCATTAGCATCTCACCCGTACATTTGACCATCTAAAATAGAATCTAAACTGAAGTGTAGCTGAGAGCAGATAGAAGAAATATCTCAAAAGTAGACCCTAGAAGGTTTTGTGATTGATTATTTTGGGGGTTAGGGGTCAGAAGATGGGAAGATGAAGAAAGGAAGTGATAATGCTTCCCAAGCTGACTTCTCTGTTTATACTTCTATCTTGAATTTTCTCTTGCTCCAACTTGGGGCAGAGAGTAGCTAACTTCTACTACAGAAACAGAAGTTTCTGGGCTTCCTCTGGGCATGTGGCACTTCTTCCATTTGTCTTCTTTTCTTTCTGGTGCCCTCCCAGACTGCAGACTAAAACTCAGCATACACATTTCGTCTATATTTTCGTCTATATTTTCTCCCGGGCTTCCCTTGCCAAGGTACATGTAGTGGTTCCATATAACCTCTCAGATCAAGGCTGAGCTTCTCGCGCTGCCACCTGAAGCCACTTCTTCTCAGGGATCTCTAGCTTGGTTTCCTATTTGATGAAATGCTGCCCCACCATTTATAACCCATTTTTGTCTCATGCTTAGTAACGGTAACACTCCAATTCCAGGAAGTGCTGACCAATAGAACTTTCTGTGCTGATGGAAATGTTCTCTATCTGTGTTGTCCAATCCTGTAGCCAAGAGCCACCCGGCGCTACTGAGCACTTGAAATGTAGCTGGTATGATTGAGGAACTAAAGTTAATACATTTTAATTCATTTACATGTACATAGCCACAAATAGCAAGTGGCTACTGTTTTGGACAACACAGTCAGAGGGGCTTCTTCTTTCTCTCTCTACTAAAGTCAGGGTGGGTTTCTGACTTTACTGAGGTGCTCACTTCCCACTTCCCCAGAGTGTTCTGTAAACGCTTAGCAACTGCTTTCTGACTTCCTGCCTTGCCTGGTCTGCCTGCAGCCCCCTCTCCAACCCACAGCCTGGCTCAGATCTCCTTCCCACAGGGCTGGGAGCGTGCACTCAGTGTGCAGTGACTGGCTCACAAGTGAAGCTTATCACAGTTATTATTTTCTTTATGAGAAACAGCTCCATTAATAGTAACAGATTTCTTTGTTTACTTTATCTGGGAACAAGTCACACCCACAAAGAAGAGAGACTGTTCAAAAGAATTAACAAGGAAACTTAGCCAAAAACAAGTCAGACTCAAAGCCCCCCAGGCTTCCTTCCCTGATATTTGAATCATCTCAGGATAGGTCTGATTGATGAGCAATGCTGAAGGCCAAGGTGGGAGATGGTTCTGATGTGGGACAGAAAGCTCCCCTGCTTAGTCACTGGCTCACTGGAGGCCCAGCTGTCACCTCCCCAGTGTTTGGGGCTAATTCCAGCAGTGTGGAGGCTTGTACTGGGCTATCCACGTTCCAACTTGTAAGCATGACACAGTGTGTATAGTCATACCACCCACAATGAGGATGATAACAGGCACTCAAGAAGCACTGGGTGGATGTCTGGGTGAATGGTATCATTTCTGGAATATAAAAGATGGTTAGTCAAGGCCTTGACCATATGCAGACAGACAAGGTCGTTGCCTACCAGTCCCAAGGGCATCCAAGTCCCTCTTGGCCAGGTCCGAGGACATAAGATCCTCATACCTCCTCTTGCCTTTGCTAGGCCGTTCTGTAGAGCACAGATGTTTCTAGAGGAGGTTTTGTTTCTGTGTATTTGTTTTTGTCATCGTTTTTGCCACAACAGAGCATAAAAATTGCACAGAATTAACCAGAGAGTAATATTCCAGCAACCAAGTTCCATGCTGAGTTAATTCTCTTCAATCTACAGTGTCTTTTTGGCGTCTGTTTCCCCCATCCCCCTTTAGTTTCTCCCATCATGGTTCTAGCAATTTCTTTGGGTCTCTGGGGGTGGCTCAGGAGGCCTGAGTCCTCATAACCATTGTGTGGCATCTGCTTGTTTCTATCCTTTTCTGGGCTGGCTTCATTTGGTGGCATCACCCCAGAAGCCAAGTGAAGCTTCCTCATTATGGCCCTGTTCGGAGGGCAGCCCTCCCTCCCTAGTCTGATGCTACTTCAGGAGAATGGTCATACTAATGCTACTTTAGGAGAATGGCTGGGCTATGCTGAGGCTATTGGGGTGAAGGAGAACACCCCTGAATTTGCCAGAATGCCTCACTCCTCCATTTTCTCTAAAGGTTGTGGGTACGAACATTCTTTTTCATCTCTGTCTATTATCTGCCCTTTTCTAGGACAGATAGGAGTCTTCACAAGTTACGGTCTCTGATCTAGAGAGACACAGAGCTGTACACAGTTCTTCAAATTCCTTCCTCCCATTTTATTCCGGCCAAGACCCTCCTATCATTCCTTTAGATCATGTATACAGCCTTCGAGTACGTGACTAGCCTCAGTGTGGTTGTTGTTTGAACTACAGGTGGAAGATCATGAAGACAGTAGTTAACTGAGGAGCAAGATCTAAGATAAAATTCTTAACTGGGGTGTCAGGACACACTGATATAAAGCAAACCCTTTGCAAGCATGCTGCCAACTTGTCATCAAAATGTCAAATTACTGTTTACTACAACCGGGCTTATGCACTGTTACGATGATGTCTGCCCAAGAGGAGGTTGAACCGAGTATGCCTTGTCCTCCGGTGTCCAACATAGTATGGCCTCTTCATTCCCTGGTGGGAGGTGAGGGGTGATTACAGGCTACAAGGGATGTGACAGGAACATAGGCTCCTTGTGAGGATCAAGGGAGCAGAGTCGTCTTCAGACAGCCTTATAGGACTGAAGGGTAAAACACATAAATAGGGTGATAACTCTGAATACAATTAGTCTGTGTTGCCATATAAAATTCTGGTATTTGAAAGTATGCCATGAACAGAAATAAAGGTTAAAAGCCATAGGCATAGAAGGAGATAGAAAGAAAGGAATCAAAAGCAATGGGAAAGGTTGTCGATTCAATGCATTAAAGATAGGAGTGAAGGAAGAGAGGAAGCTTGATGATGGAGCGACACCTTGAAATGCACAGGGAAGTTTAGGAAGCTCTCAGAGATGATCTCCAACCTTGTAGTGGAAGCAACGTTACCTGTTGATGAAATGAACAAGTCACTTTTGCTTCCCTTGGACAAGTTATATATGTCCAAGTTATATATGTTTATATATGTTAGCTTGTTTAATCTCTACAGTGATTCCATAGAGTAGGGACTGTCATTACCCTAGTTTAACAAGCGAGGAAACTGAGCCTCGGAGAATTTGTGTACTGGACTCAAGGGTCTAAGAGCCAGGAAAGGAAGAGCTGGTCTCCAACCAGGCTGGGAGAAACTGGTCAAAGTGAAGTTGGCTGCGTTCAGCTGTGTCATGAATGTTCCCACAAAAACTGAAGGGGCTATAAGAGACTTCTTCCGGCAAGAACAGGAGTGCAGGCACTGGGAGGTGACAGCACATGATCAGGGTTTGGTGCTCCCATGTGGTGGACCTCTGTAGAAGGGTACGGTAGAACTGGCAGGGAAAGAAAGGAGGTGGGGCTCAGAGGACATATCCAGCCGGACCACAGGCCTGCAGACCCATTGCTGTGGAGGGAAGGAAAGGAGACCGCTATCTGGGCTGGGAGCTACGCTGGAGACGAGCTGTGGACACCTGGACCTGATCTGGTGACAGCAGCGCTCTGGTGTAAAAACATGAGGGTCTGGATTCAAATTTCCCCTTCTGTGTTCTGCTGGCAGATGCGTTTTCCATTGGGTCCTTGTGTGTCGTCAGCGCAGGGAAGGGCCCACGCGACAGGTCCCGTGGTCGGAAGGCAGCTACGGTGAGGCCCCTGGTGGAGCATAGAGGGCTGTAAATACACTCAGAGGGCCGGGGACAGAGCGGCAATGGATGACACTGGGCAGGAGCACTCCGGAGGGGCCAGCGTCCTGCACGGTGGGGGCGTGGAGCGGGCCGGGGGCTCGGGGTCTGCTGCGGAGGGACGCTGCGGGGCGCCAGGTCCTGCTCTGGGGACAGTGCCCGGCCAGCTTCCGGCTGCCTCTGCAGCTGCGTAGGACTCCCCGAACCCTCCGAGCGGGCACCGTTTTCTCTTTCTCTTGTCAGATACCGACTCCCACGCAGGAAAAAGGAAGCACCTTTTGTCAGATGCTGCGGCCACTTCCTCTTCAGAAGGCTCCAGCCAGCCTTTCTCTTTGCAGAATGACGGGGCTGGTGCCGGGTGCCGGACTGCGTGTGCGTCGGGCCTCTGGCTGTCGCCGGCTTCCCGGTCCCTGGCCGGCCCGCGCCCGGAGCAGGCCTCTCGGCTGCCTCTCGGCCGCTCAGGGCTTCCTCCCTCCCCCAGGCCTGGCCCCCTGAGCCAGCCTGGCTGGGGCGCAGCCAGCCTCTCGGCCCCCTGGGGCTTCCTCTGTGGCCTCAGCGCCCCCCCGCTTCCCCCCCGCTCGCCGCTTCATGTCCCTCAGCCAGCCTGCCTGTCTGTTCCTCTCCGCAGCTCGGTCCAGGAGTGTGATGACCGGCGAGCAGATGGCCACCCTCCACCAGCCGTCCGCCCCCAACCCGCTGGAGAGGCCCCTCAAGATGGGCTGGCTCAGGAAGCAGAGGTCCATCGTGAAGAACTGGCAGCAGAGATACTTCGTGCTGAGGGCGCAGCAGCTCTACTACTACAAGGACGAAGAGGACACGAAGCCGCAGGTACCAGCCAGCCCGTGGGTCCCCACTGGCAGGGCTCCCCTGCTTTCGCCCTACGCTCCGTCGGAGAGGTGTCCCCTTTCTCCTTCCCACCAGGTTTTAGATCCATAAACTGAGTCGCAGAGAGGACAGGGTGATCCTCGGTGTGCGAAGCCCCGAGGGGAGCACTGAGGAGCTTCCTAAACTCAGCCCTTAAGTCAAGGCTGGTGACACAGTCTTGATGGTGACGCTGAGTGTGAGGGCTCAGAGCCAGCGGATTTGCCTTCAGGCAAATGGATTTGTTTGTTCGACCAACATTTACTGAGCATCTATTATGTACCAGACATTGTTTTGGGTACTTGAAATCAACCAGTGAGTAAAACGGATAAAAGTCCCTGCATGTGGAACTTAGATGGTAAGGGGACAGACAGAAAATAATAAATAAGGAGAGTATGTGGTTTGTTAAAAAATGGTGAGTTCCATGAGATTTAAAAAAAAAAAAAATGGGTTAAGGGGAGATCAAGCATTTGGGGAGGTGATATGATTTTATAAAGGGTGGTCAGCATGATTAAGAAGGAGAGAGGCAGTTAGCCAGGCGGATCTCTGGGGAAAAAGCACTTCATGCAGAGAGGAAAGCCAATGCAAAGGCCCGGTGGTGGAGCATGTCTGCTGTGCGCTGAGAATACCAAGGAGGTCAGCGTGGGAGCAACAGAACTCAGGAATGAGAGAATCAAAGGGGATGGGGTCAGAGAGGGGAGGGCGGGACCCAGGATCACAGTGCAGAGAGCAAAGAAGAAGACCACTGCAAGGACGTGAGGGTTTATGCTGAGGGCTATGGGGAAGCATTGCAAGGTTCTGAGCAGAAAGGGGACATTTCTTTGGCTTATGCTGTAAAAAGAAGGCTCTGGCTACAGTGTTCAAAATAGATTCAGGGCCAGAGGAAGGAGGCGTGAGGGTAATCTAGGGGAGAGGTTATGTTGTTTAGAATGTCAGTGGGGGTTGTGGGCTGGAGGAAAGTGATCAGGTTCCTGGTATACTTTGAAAGTACAGCAAACAGGATTTCTAGTTGGAGTGGATGGGGCCAGAGAGGACTTTGGTCCTAAATCTTGGGACTAGTGATTCCTCTTGGCCATCATGGTGCGTGAAAGTGAAAGGGCGTGCTATTAACAATTACCCTGGGACCCCAGGTGTAAACTGCATGTCTTGGAGCAACCAGAATGACTGGCCACTCCATCTAGAGCTCATGTCTGTGGAGGTGGAAGAGTGAGCTTGGCCAGAAGGAACTTATTAGGGAAGACAGACTCTAGAACCTTCTGGACCCAGGAACAAAAGCCCCAAGAATGGTAAGGGTATTGAGGGTATGTAAAGAAACAAGACAGTCATTTTGGAAGAGGACAGTTCTCTTTAAGAATAAGCTTGGGGATCTGTGACATATCAGCGGCACCTGGTTAACCAGGCCCTCCACTTGAGTGTCTGTCACTGCAAAGGCTGGAGAAGGGCCAGAGACCCCACCACAGACTGGGTTCTTGCTCAGTGACCTGCACATGGTAACCAGACTTCCTTTTACTTTATGAACAACCCAGACCCTATCAGAGCCAAGCAATTATAGGCTAAGATGGTGGTGACTAGTGCATGAGGAGCTGATGCAGCGAGTTTTCCCATCTGCAGAATGAGGGAGGTGGCACTGAAGCATTAGCCTTCCCAAATCAGCAGGAAGGACAACTCAGTGGGGTTTACTTCCCCGAGGTGTAGATGGTGAGAGGTATAATATGTCCAAGCTTGTATTCCTTCCCTGGCTTTTCTACCAGGAAACTGGCCAGGTAACTATTTAATTTTTCTGGACTCCTCTTTCTTCTTTTATAGAATGAGACAATCATATCTGGCCTGCACTTACCACAGGCTCAAATGATATGAAGCATGTGTATATAAAATGTTTTGTGAAAGCTGATGTCAAAGGTTAAATAAATTATTGGAGGTCCTAGCTTCTCTCCTTTGCTTCTGAAGGAAGTCCTTCCGGGGGTAAAGTAGCCTGGGATAATTAGGCAAAGCTTCTTCTAGGATGAAAGTGTTTTTTTTTTTTAAGGAACTCTATTAATATAATATATCAGATCAATAGATTGAGATCAATAAGTCAAATAAGGAAAAACTGCACAACCCCTAAATTGTGGCTGAAAGAAGCATTTGGTAAAATTCAATACTCATTTCAGATATGAAAAGTTTTTTAAAAAGCTTTTAGGGATGAATGATAATGTATTAGAAAGAAGATTTTACTGTATATAGATATGGATACTTTGATTACAAAAGCTGTATGTGCACATGGATGGTAGGAAATCTGGAAGATGTGGAAAAACACAAAGCAGAAAATGAAAAAGATCCCATTAGCAAAAAATAGTCACCCAAATTCTCACTTCTTCCAGTTCTTTCTATACATATACATTTAGAAACTCATCTATTCTAAATGTAAATTAGTATAATAATATTCTTTATTTAAAAATTAACAATAAGTCATGAATTACTATTATTATAAATAAATATTCTTTTACAATGTAATTCTTAATGGTGGCAGAATAATCTACCATATGGACATTTTATAATTTATTTAACTAATTTTCTAACGAATTTGGGCTGATATTTTTATATTATTATTACAAATAAGAGTTAAGTGGACATCCTTGTAGACTTTTTATATATCCATAATTATTTTGTTAAGATAAAGGAAATCTATTAAAAATAAAGCACTTATTTAACACTGTTTTGGGATTCATAGACATGTCAAACATCTAGAAATGACATGAAAGTTACAGACATGAGCTAAATTCTTGGGGAAAAATAAAGGTATATTTCCATGCTATGTTTCACACCATTCATGATTCTGGATGGAGTGAAGACTTAAATGTAAAAAAAAGTGAGTTCATAAAAGTCCTAGAAGAAAATGCAATTATCTGCATAATCTTTGGAAGGCAGGTGTTTTTCAAGCATAATGTAAGCAACAAAGATAGCACAAGGGAAAGGCTAATTTAATTACATAAATAAAAATATCTCTATACCTTAAAAACCAATTATCATAATGTGAAAAGGCAAATAATAAGAAGGAAAAATTGTATATGTGCATATAGTACACAAATATTCTTAATATTTAAAGTATTCTTTCAAACCTAGTTAAAAAAAGTCCAAATAGCTCAATAGAAAGTGAGCAAATGACGCAAATGGACAATTTACCAAAGAAATGTAATCGCCAATACATGTATATGAAAAAGTTCAGTCTCGGTAATAATTAAAGACATACAATGTAATCTAATGAGACATCACTGTCCCCTTATCAAATTAGCAAAGCTTTTCTAGAAATTTCGGTGTTGGTAAGGACAGGGAATAGGAATTATAATGCACAGCTGATGGAAATGAAAATCTGTACCACCTGATTCTGGAGGGTAATACATGCCTTTTTAAAAAATGCGAACTCTTTGACCCTGCATTTCTAATTCTAGACATTTAACCAAAGTGGTTGCTTAAGACTGGTGTAGATAATTATTTTTCTAAAGATTTTATTATTTATTTATTT